AGCGCATGGGAGAGATGAAGCTCACAGTTATTGGCTTAAAAAGTGGGCAAGTCTTCATCCACGTTTGATGCGACAGCATAATGATGTGCTCCATCCCAAAGCAGTAGAAGATTGGATAACAGCTGGTGGGACATTCTCATCCTGGAGAACAAATAGAAAGGAGCAGTGCCAAGCAACTTCCATCCCATTACCTGCCTCCCAACAATTTTTAAGCTACTGACAGGAATTGTGACCAATTCCATTCAAGAATATCTACAGCTCAAGTCAATCCTACCTCATGAACAAGAAGGAATTTTCCAAAAACCACGAGGCACTAAAGATCAGTTAACTGATCGATAACATGGTCTTACGAAAAAAAAGGTGGAAAACCAACCTAAATGTTTCTTGGATTGATTACAAGAAGGTATTTGATTCACTCCTTCATACATGGATCCTGAAAGCACAAGAAACTATAGGCATCAGCAAAACTGTAATAATGCTTATCAAAAATTCAATGAATAAATGGAGCACCAGGTTGATAGTGAATGGAGAAGAAATTGAAACAGTTCATATCAAACAAGGAATTTTCCAAGGAGAACAAGGAAACAAAGATTCAGACAGATAAACACCTGGATCATAATACCCCTGATATCACAATTGTAGAAAAAATGAGAAATAGGGTGTCATGACCCCAGCGGGTTGCCACCTTTTGCTGCCACCACCCTGGACTTAGGTTCTTTGAGAAGGCCCAGGATACCCTCCCAAGCCCCTTCAAATTGCCCCTTTGTACCTGAGAAACGTAAGCGTGATGACCAGGCAGAGAAACAATTAAACAAAAAGGGTTTATTATTACAGTACTGGGCAGGGGAAAAACAAGACAAGACAAGGTGCTTTAAAATACATAACAGTATTGAAAGGCCAAAAGAAACACAAAACTAATGCAGTTACCTGTTACTCCTTAACTGTTACTACTCAAGTCCTACAGCTCTATTATGCCAGACTTCTGCCTGTACTCACTGTCCCCAGTGAGGGATCTTTCTTCCAGACCACTGTCCTGAGCTTAGCTCTGTGAGAGGCAAACACCGCAGAGAGGAAAAGAACACAGTTTAACTGACCACCAAGTATATAAACAATCTCCTCAGAGAATTCATTGACCTCCATTGGTTACAGCTGGCGCGCAAAGCCTTGTGGGGATTGTCTGCTTCCCACTCCCAGGCAGGTCTCTTAGGCCTCACTAGGCGCAGTCCTGCACAGATCTCCAGAGGCCTACACAGATCATGACATAGGGTTTGGATAATTGACGTTGCAATCCCAGGGGACAACAGAATAGAAAAGAAAGACCAGGAGAAGATCACGAAATACCAAGACCTACAAGCTGAGTTAGAGCACCTCTGGGAGAAGAAGGTGATCATCATGCCAGTTGTCATTGGAGTCCTTGAAGGAGTGCCTAGAAGTTTCAAGAAACACCTGGACTCTCTGGCCATTGACCAGATAACATCAGCTCAGCTCCAGAAGACAGTGTTGCTTGGAACAGCAAGAATCTTAGGAAGATAACCTCTGCAATTCCCAAGAGGGTGGCTAGATTTTGAATTGCAGACCAGCATCTACCGGTCAAATATCTGACTGTGACAATTGATGATGATGATGCCTTTATATAAGTCTGTGGTGTGACCACTTGTGAAATATGATGTATACTGCATTATTTTTATTTGTTGATTGCATTTTATGTTTTGTATTCTGCAACTTGTAGTCACACTGCTAGCTTCTTACATCCAAGGAAATATGGCAGAATAGAAATATTTTTCATTAGATAAACAAAGTCAGAGAGCATAAATGCCCTTATTGACAGGAAAGACGGACATTCATGAGAGCTGAAAGTAATGTGAGAGGAGGGGTGCTTTCAACTGGAGAAAGAGCGGGGGGGGGGGGAGTTAAATTCTCTCCTCCCTTAAGTACTGCAGTCCTGATGCACATCTCTCCTTACCTTCCTCCAGCAGCTTCTTAAAACCAAACAATTCTTTTGGTTTCAGTCACAGAAGTCCAGTGCTGTCTGCAGTTTGCCCCAAATGTCTAGTTCAACTCTGTGGGTTTGGTTTTTTTTTTGGGGGGGGGGGGGTTGCATTTTGTTTTATTGAAGAAAGAATGTTATAATTTAACACCACCAAAATCGTTAATATTATGAAAAACTTAACTTGCACGCTTAATCTTCATATCTTCTTCATCTTCTTTCTTCTCCCAAAATTATTACATGATAATGCTTATAAGATTCTCAAACTATCTTAGCTCATTATAATAGATTTACAATATATTATCAAATTAATCTCTGAACTAAATTATTCTGAAAATAATTAACTCAGTCCTAGGAGTCCTCAAGGGTCAGGAGGGAGAAAAAAAATCCCTCCTTCCAAGGACCAATTAAACCTTGGGGGAACTTACCCAGACACTTGCCACAGTCCCACCGCTCTTGTAGCATCAATATATATATATATTTCATATTACCCAAATCCTATTTTTAAACAGAGTCCGAACTCTCTTCAAAATCTTCATGGTCTTCAGGAGTACAGACTCAAGTTGCTTTGACTGGTGTAAGAGGAGAGTATTCTTTCCTTTTGCCAGCTCTATTTTCTCGTGATTCAGAAGGAGAAGAATTTAAGGTGGCCAGCATTAGTTCATCTGAGGCTGAGTCATAGGCAGTGTAAGAGATTGAGCTGTGTTGGACTCACAGCTTTCCCGTATGGAGCCAATGATACCTTATTCCTAAATCCTGCAGATGAGCAGTGTTGTTTTTAAGATCTCTTCTAATCTTAAAAAAAAAAATCGGGGGGGGGGGAGCTGGAAAAACTTGAATCTTCAAGTCCCTAAGTCAAGACTGCCTCACTCTCTAGCCTCTGCAAAGATCCTCTGCTGTGTTCGAAAGTCCTTAAATTCTACCAGTATATCTCTAGTATATAATGAGGAAGTAGATTTATCACATACCTTACTGACACGATAAGCTCTCTGTAGAAGGGGTGTAACACCAGCTTCAAGGATTAAAGTTCCCGCTAACCAAGTCACCATAAATATATTCAGCTCTGTTTCAGCTTCAATGTTTGATTTAAACCCCTTGAACTTTAGGCACAACTCACAACTACAATAATCCAAATACAAAATACGTTCCCATGCCCAGGCATCACAGGTTCTCACAGGTAATTGACTTTCGAGCTCAGTAAATTTCTTGAGAGCTTTCTCTACCTTTTGATTTGTCTGTTTATGAAGCGCTTCTAACTCGTCCGTATGTTGAAACGCTGGTTTCAGCATTTCTGTAATATCGTTTCTCAGTTCCTGACATTGTTTGGTTAGCGCCTGCATTGAAAAAATTGTAGTAAGCGGACTCTCTTCAGCCATTAGCTCGCCCCTCCCCAGCATTGCAGATGTGCGTCTGTAACTGGGGAAAACTCTGTTAAACACAAAACACTTTCTCCTTTCTGTTTCCCCTTCTTACCACCTTTAGGCGCCATCTTTCAAAATAATTTTTTTTTTGCGTTGGAAAGAGTAAAAATATTCAAATTTTGAGCGGGCAGGCAGCGAGCACTGGGTACTGGCTGCTGACCCGGAAGTTGGTCACGGCCACTCCCCGTTCAATTCTGTTATTAGCAGATAGGATTTAAAAGCAAGTTTGTTGTTAAGACATATTTTAAGGTTCTTCTTCAGTCTCTCCATCTGTTTAAGGATTGATTATCTGCTGCTGCTGCTTTTAATACTGTTGTTTTAATTTTTGTAATAGTTTTGAAATCAAGTGTGACAGTGCTTCAGACCTTCATAATAAATCTAGAATTACATGTAGTCTTACCTGAAGGTGTCTTATTTTGTATTCATCATGGGTTCAATAGTTGCACCCATATCTAGCAGGTCCCTCAATTTTTTCCTCACAACGACATCCCCAAGAGGTGGGTTAGGCTTGAGAGGGAATGACTGGCCCAAGGTTACCTAGTGACCTTTTGTGGTCCAGTACGGATTTGACCCAGGGTCTCCCTCTCTAACTACGACATCAAGGTTCCACCTTCCTCTCAGTGGAAAAGGTCAATTGTTTTGTAATTTTTCCTCTGTCAACATTTATTTTTCATAAGTTTCCACTACTTTTCAAGACTGTCATATGGCTTAGTTTTCCTGAGCTGTATTCCTAAAGAAGATATTGGTTTTCTGGGTTAAACATTTTAAATTATGCTCTACTAGGTTTGCCATGTCAGGTAAAGTGTCTAATGGCTGAATATCCAGGGTAGAAGCGGCTTTTAAATTATCATAATCTTTTTAGGAGTGGGTACAGGCGTAGAGGAGCTGCGGTGGCTCAAGTGGTTAAGACGCTGAACTGCAGGCTGTGGAAGGTCAGTAGTTCAGCAGTTCGAGACCCGAGTGTGCCGCATGACGGAGTGAGATCCCGTCTCTAGTTCCAGCTCCTGCCAACCTAGCAGTTCGAAAGCAAGAAATTGCAAGTAGATAAATAGGGACCACTTCAGTGGGAAGGTAACAGTGTTCCGTGCGCCTTGGTGTTTAGTCATGCTGGCCACTTGACCACGGAAACGTCTTCGGACAGCGCTGGCTCTTCGGCTTTGAAACGGAGATGAGCACCACAACCCTAGAGTCGGACTCGACTGGCTTTCGAGCAAGGGAACCTTTACCTTTACCTTTATAGGCGTAGAGACGATGGAAAGATCTCCATGCTGTGGACAGATTCCAGGAGAGGAATGCCTGTGGAAAAAGTTGGAACAGAAGGCAAAATTATTTTGAATTTTGATCTGGTGTTCTCTAGTGTTCCCTTATGAAGGAAAAAACCTTTCAAGGAATCCAAGAAAATAAAACTGGCTATTTCTAATCGCTCCCTTCCCCTGAAGTATGGTTGAATAATTCTTAGGGCTGTCATCTTTATCAATATCTTACAGAGATATGCCATCATTCTGCTACTCATGAATAAAGGCCTTCAGTTATTGATTATATCATGTTATTTAATGTGTATTTTATTTCTGTTTATGTTTTGTTTTCTACAGTTGCTGCTAATTTACAAAAAATAGTAGATGACCCCAAGGCCTTGAAAACGTTAACCTTTAAGCTGGTAAGTAAAGCAACGTTGGCAACAAAATAATATTAGTAAATAGAACATAATTACTAGTTTTTTGAGCCGGCTTTTCTTCTGATGTTTTATTAGTCACCTTTCTGTATTGAGCATTGACCTTTTCAGCATTTTATTACACTGCACAGTCTGAAGCAGAAACCCGTGTTTTAATGGCCTGTGTGTTTTTTTTTAATTTGCTTGCTGAAAAGAATAATTTGCAAAACAGAGTGTGCTGCGCTTGTAATGCCTGGCATGTATTGTACATCCACAAGCTTAACAGCTGCTCTTGACTGCTGATGCCTCAAGTTTATTGAATGGCCATAGGCAAGGTTTTCACATTGGGACCATTTACGCCAATTGGTCTACAATAGTTTATTTTCTTGAGAGAGCAAAAATTGATGTGTGTATGTGGGGGAGGGGAGTTGGCCTCTAGGCCATCCTTCTGTAAACAGCTCTGTGTCTAGGAACTGCAGAAGGTACTGCATGTTGTGTAAAGGCCAGATATATCCTCATGGGGATTTGTAGACAGATGGCAGCTGCGAGTTCCCTGTAGGAACTCAGTTCTGAATTGCTTCAGGGACCCAGTGTGGACCGGAATTGCAGGGGGGGAGGAGCTTCAGCTTCCCCATGCCATTTTCCAAACATGAAAAGTCTCAGGTACTGTTATTTGCCCCAGTGGGGCTGTATGTACACTGAACACTTGCATGTACAACTCCCCCACAAAGCAAGTAATGTCCCCTGGGGCCATTTGGGGTTAAGAAAATAATACAGGGAGAAGGATGAAGTGCTTCTTCCCCTGCGCAGTAGTTCTGTTCCAAATTGGGCCCTGTGGTGCTTCACAATAGAGTTCTCACAGGGAACTCGCAGCTGATGTCCTGCTCGAAGTGCCTGTGGTGATCATGTGTTAAACATAACATCTGGTTTGGTCCTAAGAGTCACCCACATCACAAGCAGCAGCTCTGAGACCCTTCCAGTTATCAAGGCAGCATAGAAATATGACAAATGCAACATTTGTGTTGTCAGCCAGATAGCGTTTAGCTGATAACCTCTCTTTTGACTGATGAATGTGTGTAATTTAAATAAAATTGCAAAACTCCAGGACCTCAATATAATTGGCTATTTAAGATATTGTAGGAAGTCTAATGCAGCTTCTAGTTCAAGCAGTCTGGCATGTTATTTGAACAAAAGGCAACCTTTCATAATCTTTTTCCTTTTTAGCAATGTACCAGAGCCAAAATGGCTTCAAAATATAACTGTTGTATTATTATCTCATAACTTTCCTGATAAAACCTTGATTGCATTGCTCATACTTAATACACATACGCATACACACACACGGTGACCTATGAAATGAACTTTCTAGTTTGTTAGCAGTACAGTCCTAAGCAGAATTACTTCCTTATAACTTTATCAGAGTCAATGGGCTTAGAAAGGAGTTACTTTTGCTTGTAAGTTGTTGATCAAAGTATGAAGTCTTATGAAACAGTAGTGTTACCCAAATAGGTAGTCTCCTAATTAGTTGGGGGAATTAGCTTTAAGGAGACAGACCGAGAGGGGGTAACTGGGATTCTCCATGTATGTATACCAGGATTTTTCTCTTAAAAGAACTTTTAAAATAAACCAGACATATGTTTAACAGGAAAGATTTTTATAAAAAAAGAAAATAGAAATGGACAACATACACACACCAAAAACACATGTAAGAGCTAACTAAGGAAAAACAGGGAGGAAATGGGAAAGCTTTTTAGGGAAGGGTAGTATTTACCAATCTTGAAGAGGTCCATGGAAGCAGCAGAGTTAGAGAGAAAAACAGCCAGTGTTTTGTGTTGCAGAAGAAGACCCACAAGAGTGGGGGTATGAGAGGAATCTAAGACACACAGTCACACACACACACACACACACACACACACACACTCTGCTGGGAAGCAGGGTGCTCCAGATATAGAGCAAAATGTACCCTTGGGCAGGTTGATTTGCCAGTAAAACAATAACTTAATGGGCTCTTCTGAGATGGACAAAGGTGTGGGAGAGGCTTGATGACCCTGCAAGTACCGGGCAGGAAGGCTAATGGGTTAGACGAACAGAATTAAGTGTTGAATAACTGTGACCTAATTAAGGTAAGTGGGCACAAGGGTAGTAAGGCTGGGTGTTGATGGGGTTAGTCCAAGTATGAGTCAATAGAGCCTGAAAGACCCATTGTCCTAAATTATGTATCTCTCTGGGGTGTGGAGGTGGCAGTAGACAATCAGCTGCTCTTACTCACACTTCTAAACTACTTGTCCCAACTTGTTCCTGACTGGCATCCAGTTTGTTTCATTTTGGGCCATCCAATGTCCTGTGCTTATGAATTTTGAGGTGATATTTTATGGTTATTCTAGCTATAAACTGCCCCTCTGCGAGAGGAGGGGTCTGACTGCTAACAGTACAACATGTTACCTCTGGGGTTTCTTTATGACTTTCATTTCAATATTGGAGACATTTATCCTTTCTTTTAATCAGCATGTGTTGAGAACATTAATACCAACACTTGTAACTGGCGAACAGTGTTCAGATGCATCTCTGATGTGTTGAATTTATTGTGGCATTGACCTCCATGGAAGAACTTAGTACATACAAAGAAGAAACAGTGCCCTTGGCTCCGATGAAGTTAGAGGTCAGAATGTTCCGCTTCAGTTTGGAAGAGGAGTAGACGTAGTAATGGGATTTTCTCTTTCTTTCAACAAAACCTGAGAGTTCTCTTGGTGCTCCATTCCTTTGCTTCCTTTGAATGTTGTATAGGAAAGGATTCTTGCTGTGACACTACCTTTTCAGTGTTACATTTTATAAGAAGCAGAATTGGGAATCTTTGAGTTGAGAACGATTATATTGCTCTCTGACAACACAGTCTCACCATGTACATGAATTTAAAATGGACCCCAAGCAGTGTTCTAATGAAGCTTTCCGGTAGAGCTGAGTTACTGTGATCTCTTTGGGGTGGAAAGGAAGCATGAGTCATGGAAGATAAATGGGCAGTTGGTCAACACAATGGGAAATGATTCCAGAATGACTCCAATGAGCAAAGCCATCAACACACCAGTGGCCACGCATGGCCAGGCAGTGTTTCAGTAATCTGACAGAGCCAGTAAACCATAATTGTAATTGGTGTGCTGCAGAAATAACTTAGATAGCGTGGATTCAGATTACTAGAAATAAATGTGAGGCTTTGATATTGAACCAGTTGCCTTAGCAATTGCAGCTTTCCAATACGAGTGCAGAGATGCAATGGCCCTGACTTACCAAGAGGCGGCATTTGTGGCCCAGTGCTGGGAGCAAGCAGAGGGAGACCTTTTTGCTGGATCTGAGCCAGCCGCGTGGAGCTCGGAGGGGGGAAATCCCTGCAGCAGCCCAGGGCTAACCAATCACCTTTTCACTGGGCCAGCCGGGGAGGGGCGGAGCTCCAGGAAGACCTGGAGTACCGAGTTCTCACTCTGGTCCACCCCTTCCCTATTTAATCGGGCTGCCGCTGGTGCCTCACCATCAGTTGGTTCCGGCTCTCCCTCCCACCCTCCCTTCATTTTCAGTTGTTACAAGTTGTGTTTCGGTATACCTTCTTCTTTTGTGTCACTGCACGTTTATCACAGCTTGTTTGGGTGGCTTAGACATTGGGACGGATCCATTTGGGGGGGAGAGGCTGTGCTTGTGTGCCTGCCTCACCTGTTTTGGGGACTCCTTTAAAGGGTTTTGGGGGGTGCCATTGAGCGGTATGCCCAGCTTGGGGGCTGCTGGCTGGCTGTAACCACCAGGTGGCAAGAGAGCCACACAGCAGCTTGCCCCCATGTGGATCCCAGAGCTTGCCACTCTGCAGTTTCTCCCCAGCAGGTGGGCTGTGGGGACGGGGTCCATCACGCAGCAAGTAGGTCACCTGATACAGGATCTGTCCCCATGCTGCACCAGTGCTCCTGCGGTTGAATTCAATAAAAGCTGCGGTCAGTTTTTCCCCAATCTGGTTTGTGTCATCATTCTTCATCCTTGCCCTCGCTCCCTCCCTTGCCTCTGTGTCCTCCGTAGCCTCTGCTGGTGAAACAGTTTGTGATGGAGTCGTCCGAGCTAGATCCCGCCAACAGTGAACTGCAGTAAATGCAAACACAAGTTGCCCCCCTTTTTGCTAACTGATGTTCTGTATATGTGTGTGTGTGTTAAGTGTTGTCAAGTCACTTTTGACTTATGGCGACCCTATGAATTAATGACCTCCAAAACTTCCTGCTGTTAACAGCCTTGCTCAGGTCTTGCAAACTGAGGGCTGCGGCTTCCTTGATAGAGTCAATCCCTCTCGCATGTCGGGTCTTCCTCTTTTCCTGCTGTCTTCAACTTTTCCTAGCCTTATTGTCTTTTCTAGTGACACTTGTCCTCTCATACTGTGACCAAAGTACGATAGCCTCCGTTTAGTCATTGTGATGCCCCTTCTCCACTCACACACTCTCTTAAGCCTGCCCCCCCCCTCAGGTTTTGGGTCATGCCTAGATCAGGTCGTTACACTGGCCACCCTTGCTATCCTTCTTGTCTCTTTTAAAATATACAGAGAGCCATGAGCACTGCACATCTCAGGTCCTCTCATGCACAAAGACATACACAGACAGGGTAGCCCAGCCCCCTTTAATAACAAGCCCTTACCCAGTTGTTGGGATTGGGGCTCAAACACTGTTCCATTCACACGCTGCCAGTGTTTATTCATATCCTAATATAGGTTTAGTCTGAGAATTTAAAATTGTGTGTGTGTGCATCTTTTCCTTAGACACGCAGTCCATAGCATTAACAAAACAGGTCACCTTTTATTGATGGTAGGAACATAATACTGAGGAAAGTGAGGCGTAAGTAATAATGTTTCGCTTCCATTGAACTTCTGAACTGAGATCCCATTCCTGCAAAGGGGATCCTTCCCTTACAAACTGACTATATTTCGCCTGCTCTAAGCAGCTGTTCTGCATAGTTCCACTCAGTCAGACATTTGACTCCCCCCACCCCCTGCCCCCAGCTCTTAAGTTGCCAACTCCAACTGCTCTTCTTAACTGCCGTTTTCCAACCCTCTCCCCAGCATTCTGTTCGCTCTCATTGGTCACTCTGAGGGAGAGGTGGAACTTACCCTGTCCCATCACACATCACATCAAGCTGTTGCAAAAAAGATTCATGCAAGCACTAATGCAGGAGTTTGTACAAAAGTTTGTGGAATGCAAGTTAAAAAGGCATTTTGCTGGCAGTTCATAGGATTCGACACAGTGTTTTGAGGTGGCAAGGGGTGAAGAAGAGGCGGTGGACTGAAAATATGTAACCTGTATGGCTGTTTTCCTTTTGTGGGTCTTCAGGGGAAAATGTGCTGCCGTATTAATGAAACATTAATTGGGAGTACATCTTCCAAATGGAGTCCTACAAACTCTTGCCCGATGGGGAGGTGGTGAGCCACTAAATAGCAATGAAAGGTCTTAAACCTCTGATAGATGGCTCCTTCCAGCACTTTATTGCAAAACTTTCTGTTGTAATATGTAAATTACTATTTCCATTTATGCATAAAAGGAATTAAAATACCAGAAGACCAAACAGAGCACATCTGTTGCAGCAAACGTTGAGCATCATAACCAATATATATCCTGAACAGGCTGCACTAGATGTGGTTTTTTAAAATGTTCTACCAATAAAACTGTTTCTTCATTTTCTAGCTCCTACCTGTAAAAAGTAATCAAACTGCATGGAACTAACACGGTTTCTAGCAGAAAATGTGCACGTAGGCACACACTTCTTCAGAGTGTCATGTAAGCTGTAAAAAGCTGTTTTACCTGCAGGAAAGGCTTTTAAAAAGCATCTAGTTGGGAGCACAGATGCCTTGTACATTTATACACCACCCCTTCCTCCATGTAGCTTAGATGGTGTACATGGTTCTTTCATTTTATCTTCACAACAACCCTGTGAGGTAGGTTAGGCTAAGAGAATGACTGGCCTATTTCATGACAGAGTGGAGGTTTGAACCCAGGTCTCCCAACTACTGTCTCTCAAAGCTGCTTCTAAAGTGGGAAATAAAGATCTTTTTCCCCCTGCCTGGAGTAAATGTAGTCTGCTTAAGAAAGGCTTAAAAAGGCACACATTCCCAGAACAATTAGTATATTAATGCTCCGGGGGTAGTCAATACACACAGAGAATAGCTAATTGACGTGTTAAATGCATGCTCTTGACAAACATATCAGTCTCTGTTTAAAGTGTCGGACATCTGTGGCTTATTTTTCAGGAGGCTAACCTGCCCTAAACAGGGAAAGGAGAGTTGTATGTCTTCAAGCTGTTGATTTAATTAGCAGTATTGATCAAAAGATGTTGCTTCCTGATAAAATAAATGCACGCTTCACAGTTAATGAAGGTCATCTACATTAACACAGTTGTATTCAGTAGGAAATTGCTTAGGGGAGGCATGGGTGGAGAAGGCATCTTATATTATTAAATATGCAGCCTTACTTTTTGAAACATAAAGAAAACAGCTTAATATTATTTCTGCCCAATAAACTGTATGAATACATAGGTCAAAACCTTTTCTAACAGATAGCCCTATTGCTACCATGTGTTACCTAGCACCGATGCCCGAAATTGCTTCCTGTAGTCCATCCCAGCTAGATGTCTCGCTGCTTGCATTCTGGACCGATTGAATTTATGAACTGTTTTCAAGGGCAGCCTCATGTAGAGTGCATTGTAGTAATCTAACCAGGAGAGGACAAGAATATGGATCACTGAGACTAGATGACACTTTGAGGAATGCTGCAGCTTGTGAACTAGCTAAAGTTGGTTTAACAGCATTGCATAGTACAGTAAAAAATTAGGCATCCAGGTGTAGATCTGGACCCCAAGCTGTAAACCTGCCGGGGGGGGGGGAGAGAACCATCCAGAGTACCTTGTCTCTCAGCTCCAGAATCAACACTACCACCAGCCATCACTACATCATTCTTGCCTGGGCTGAACTTCATTTTATTGCTCTTTATCTAGAAACTGATACATTCCATTGGCAGCCCCACCTGATTCAGATGGAAAGGAGAGAGATCACATTCAAGTCTCCTGACCACTTCTCCCAGCAGTTTCATGTAGATATGAAATAGGATGCAGGAAAGAACTGGACCTTATTCAGCACTATTGTGTAACAGCCATGGTGCCAAACAAAACCCCACCATCTTGGTTTCCTGGAAATAATTAGCCAGATAATGGAACCACTGGAGTGTATAGTTACCAATACCAGTAAAGGTCTGTGGTACTGAAAACTGTCTCGCAAACATCCCCTGTTGTGTTCCTGACATCAGGGCATCCAAAGCTATTTCTGGTTTGAAGCCAAGACTGAAACCCAGTTGGAATGAGTCTAAAGAATGGGTTTCATTGAAAACCAGTTGGACAAGAGCAGCCCCCACCTATTTCAGCAGCATACCCAAAAAGAAGATATTAGTAGCAAACCTGTACTTAATGAGGCTAGAGACCATACTTGTTAAGAGGACAATCCCAGTTGAGGCCATACTTGCTAAGAGGACAATCCCAGTTGCTGTTAGTGTTATGCTTTAAAAGGGATAATAGGTATAGCCAGCTTCTCTGTCTCTGTAGGCCTGTTTCTTACTTGTTGACTTGACTAGTTGGTTGTCATTTGAGATATGGGAACAAGGGCATTTATTTATTTAGAATACTTAAATGCTACTGTTTCCGAGAACACAGGCTTAAACACTTGTGCATTAGCCTGTTACAGCATGCACTGTGTAAATCACAAGCAAGTAAAATCTGTTATTTACAAACCTGTTCCTTTTCCTGTAGCATTTCTTATCTGACAAAGAATGATTGGCTGGTTCATACTAATAGGAAGTCATGTGATCTGTTTTTGCATGATTTTGGTTTGGTCTGGAGGGGGGCAGAGAGAATGTTTGTGTGGGGGGGAGAAGGTGAGATGGCTCTCCATGGCCTGGTAGGTATTGCACTGCTCTTTCTTCTGGCTTTTTCCTAGGGATCAACCCAACCAACCTGCTATGTGTTCAGCCTTTCAAGGATAAAACAATGGGTTGGATCGAGCCAGATTTTCCACAGGTGAAAAGTGGAGGACAGAGTCCCCTTGGGCTGCCAAAAAGGCGATGCTGGAATTCATCAGACTGGCATGACTAGTAGCCATGTAGCGCAGGTTCTGTAGTAAAGTAGGGAAACTAAATGGTCATAAAAGTTGGCGGGATTTAACCTGATGTTTAGTTCTCCAGTCTGCACTGTGAGGCACATCATGGCTATGAAGTAGGTCTCCTTACACATAACAAATGTTTGTTTGTTTTTCCCTTCCCCTTCTTTCTCCCCCCCCCCCCCCCCATAGCATTTCAGGCTTCCGGCTGTGATGGTACCGAGATTCCCGATGAGATAAAACTGATTGGCTTTGCTCAGTTAAGTGTCAGCTGATGCCAACCACCTGACCCCCAGCAGAACGGCAAGATTGCAAAGAGGCCAGCTTTCATTTGCGAAGGAAAAATCCGAGCACCACACTCTGACTCCTGCTTCATTCTATGGCAACTCACCAAGTTGGAACGACCCACCGCTACACTGCTCTCGCTACCATTCCAAAAACTACTCAATGTGTCTCTCTCTAGCAATCAAGTTCGGATTTCCCTGAAGTGAAAGCAGACGGATTGGAAATGCACTCAGGTGGCTGTATCCATTGGTTACAAAAGGAATTTTCTATCAGAGCTTTTTCTTCTTTAATTAAAAAGGAAAAAATCAATAACAACCTATTTTAGGGGATAATACTGACTCTCTTCTGTTGTAGGTAGAAATGAACATAATTTACAAATGCTAGGATTTATTAGCCAAACTTGAATTCTAGTTTTAAGAAATGACAACTGTGAATTTTATTTTTCCCCTCTCCATATATTTATGCATTATACAGCCGAGCTATAAGAAATCAGTTATATCTTTTTGTTTTTGTTGTTTCCTTGATTATGTGCTACTTACAGGTAACCCTTTTTTATTTTAAAAGAGAGTTTCAGGTTCATCTTTGAAGCATTTGTTGCTCTCTTTCCTAGTTTTTGAACTGATGTAGGCATTTTAGTTTTGGTTTTGTTTTGGTTTGTGTGTCTTTTTTTTAATCCATCATCTGGTTGTCAAGGGTGTGGGAGGTGCCTTGTGGATATTAACTGATCTAAGACTGTGCCTGAAGCTTTGTGAATCTGAGCTCATCTCAATTCTAGACCTACCACGTCAAGATCTCTTGAGTAATGAAAGAGGTTTACTGTATCAGACTTGAGACAAAATATGGCCTGAATTCCGCTTTGTTGGGGGGAAAGTCTACAAGACGAAAACTTCTTATAAACAGTTGCCATTAAGCTTAAAAAAATGCCTTTACTTTGCCCATCTCTGATTTGGCTTATCTCTAAAAGTTTAGGAATTTTTGTGTTATAACAATAAAAAACTTGAAGAGAATCTAAGCTTTACTTGAAATTCTGCAGAACACCATGGTGGAGTGCAAATAAGAAGGGGCTTTGTGCAATGATGTAAGGGTAAAAAGAAACAAAACGGTTACAGATTTTTTTAAAAAAATACTTCTGACCGAAATAGTCATATGCTTAACCTGTGGCATAGATATTTTGGAGCTCGTTAAATCATTAGACGGATTCTCTAATTTAAAACATATTTTTCGGGAGGTGGATTTCTTGGACGTTGCCATGTTCAGCCACTTCCATGCTAAACTTAGATAAACGGCAGCTCTCTCTGACATACGGGAGGGGGGAAAAGAATGGCAAATATGTTATTTAAGAGTTATTTATAATGCCTTGTCATAAATGTTTGAGGTGTTCTAGAGCCATTTGCATACAACTCAATGTAATTTCATTCCATTCTATTGTTTACACAATGATTACTCAAAGACTGACTGCAGAGGTAAAAGGAAAATAAAGTGTATTGCACAAACTGTTTGGGTTTCTTCTGATGCTGCTGATGATTTCACAGGGCTTTAAAGCCTGAAAGGCAAAGTCAACCACTTTGCCTGGATAAGTAAACAAGCTGGATTAGCTGCTGACCTAGAGCAGTCATCCCTAACATGGTGCCCAGAGGTCGATTCGCGAGGATCACGGGGGATCGCCGTTCCCCCGGGTGAGGTGCGGGGGGCGGGGCACACGACAAAGCCCCGCCCCCTGCTTCTGGACGCCCCGCTTCCGGTCCTCATTCAGCCAGGAGGAGGCAGGAGAAGAGGGGAGGGTAAGTTGCTTCCTCCCCGCCTCTCCCCACCCCTGCCTGCCTTGGCGGGGCTTCCTCGCACTCCCGCCGGCCTTGCAGGTCCACCGCCGGGCCCCTGATGGGGCACGGCAGTGAAGCCACAAGGCTGCCGCTGGCGGCCGGGACCGTTGGGGGCGGGGGGCCTTCGCGGGGCTTCCTCGCACTCCCACACCTTTAAGACTAACAAATAGCACCTTTAAGACTAACCTTTAAGACTAAGACTAACTGAGTGGTGGGTGTGGCCTTATGACACACTTCCGGTGATGTCAGGGGGTGTGGCCTTATGACACACTTCCGGCGATGTCAGGGGGTGTGGCATATGCTAATGTTATGCTAATGAGTTCCCCTAGCTCTTTTTCTACGAAACGACCCCTGATGGTGCCTACCAATCCGTTTCCTAGCACCCACTTGGGAGTAAGAGGTACTTAAAGGGGGGGGGGGAGTTGAGGAGGCACCACCTTTGTTTCTGCACCCAATTGGAAACAGCCGCCTACATCATAGGAGGATGCCTGGCCTGGAACCTGCTAACATTTTCTGGAACCCTTCAATGTTTTGTGATTGAGTGAATATAGACCCTATGGCTGCCACTTTGTGATTGGTCCCGTCCTGTGTTCGCTCTCAGCCACCCCTCCTTTGATTCTCCCTCATGTGTGATTATGGGGGTCTGGAATACATGGGGTGGGGGTGCTTCAGCCCTTTCAAGAGATCCTTTCTTCTCCAACCCCCTCCGGAGGTTAGGAAGCTACTGTTCTGTCTACGGCCAACCAGAGTCTGTATTCCTCCCTTTGCCCCCCACCCCAGTCCTTGTCCACCAGAAGGTGGGAGTTTGGTGTGTGTGCACATGTGAGTGAGGAGGAACTCCCCTCTGCTATCCCTTAGCCTGCGCTGTCCCTCTGTGCTTAACATTCCAGCATGGTAAAGTAACTAGGCAATGTAGGTGAGAGTTTGAAGTAGTCAGAGCACACTAAGAATCTTGGCTGGGGGAGGGGAAATCTTTAAAAAAGAAAAAATCTTTAATAGATAAGCATAAATCCTAGCACAAAACCAAAACACAGATGGATTGGAAATAATCAAAATGCAGCATTTCTCTCTTAGAAATGGACGGAAGGAAGTCAAGGCTTGACAAAGACTGTGCCCCTGTTCTTGGCACAGATTTCAGATCTTTGAACACAGACTTTTCTCCCTTGGGGCAGTCTTCAGTCTTTGTTCCCTGGCTCTCTCTCTCCTTGGTGCACGTTGGCAAACCAGGCTGACAGTTCTAACTCTTCGTTTCCAGCCCGGGACTGTCTGTGGTCCTAATCAGACTTTTTGTGGGCTCAGATAAACGTTTCCCACCAAGCTGCTGCTGATCAATTATCCCAGAGTTGTGATAAGGATTTTTAGGGTGTCTGAGCTTGACGTTAAAAGCCATCTGTCTTAGCTTTTGAACAGTTTGGACAAATGGCGATTTGGTTCTCCCAGAATTCATCCTCTTTTTCAGTGCATGCTTCCTCTAAAACTGTTTTTCTCTTCCCCCTCTGAAGTAACCTGAGAATTTTCTGAATTGCCCGCAAAGTGTGTTTTACTTCAAGGCATACTTTCTCCTGTTTCTCTACAGGTTCCACCTACTCCATGGAAGCCATTTTGTTGTGGTGCTCACTACCTGTCCTCAAAATACCAGAAATAGCCTCAGGTACTTGGGAATCTCTGGAACTAGAGCCTCTGAGTACCATTGCCCCCAGTCAGTTATATCTGTTTGTCTATGGTCTATTACATTTTTATCCCACCCTTCTTCCAAGGAGCACAGGGTGGTGTATATGATTCACCCCTCCTCTATTTTATCCTAATGGTTCTGTGTTGTATGTTATCCTAAGGGAGAGTAAGTCACCCTAGGTAACCTGTGATTCTAAGCATCTGCAGTCTAGAAAATCCGGTAAAATACGTTTAAAAATCCACATAGATAGGTGGCTCAAGTGAAAACTGTTGTAGGCAAGCAACTTTGATATATCTCTTAGCAAGGCCATTGTACGGGCTCCTTTCATTATATGTCTAATTTTTAAAACTTTTTAAAAGGGTTAACTTACACGAAGAAAAACCTGAGATCTGGCTCTGCTGCCATTTTGAGAGTTGTTTGGTGGTGGAAAGTGCTGTCAAGTTGCAGCTGACTTACAATGACCCAGGAGAGTTTTTGAGGCAAGAGACGCTCAGAGGTGGTTTGCCACTGCCTGCCTCCTGCCTCTGCTCAGTTACTCTGAACTTCCTTGGTTGTCTCCCATCCAAATACTAACCAGGGCCAACCCTGCTTAGCTTCTGAGATCTAATGAGATCAGGCTAGCCTGGGCTGTCCAGGTCAGGGCTTGAGAGTTGCTTAGCAACCCCCAGGGCCGGCTTCAGGTTTTTTTATACACTAGGCGAGGCTACCTTCTGGTGCCCCCCCCCCCGTGCACCCACCACTTTTCTGGCGCTCTCCCCCGGTGTACCCCCCACCCCAGCACGACAGCCCCAAGGAAGAAGAAGAGGGAAGATAATCATAAGCTAGGAAGCAAAGTTTCATATGAGAGGCTTCACCCTGGAATGCATAATGGCAATTAAGGGGTTGCCAACCTCCAGGCGGGGCCTAGAGAGAAGAAAGACTTTTCTTCGTGCAAACTCTGCACTCCCTTGGAAAGTGGCACGACTGCCCAGTTACAAAGCTCAGCAGTTGCGGAGGGTCAGAGGCTTGCAACGACAGGGAGGCAGAAGGGCATCTCACCACCATGACTCTGGAGGCCACACATTTTGGTGACAGCCCCCCCCCCATGCCTCTGAGCAAGGGGAGGGAGGCAGAGAGGCCCCATTGCCTCTCCACACTCCTGGGACGAGGTGCCTCTTCTTACCTGAGGGGAGCCCCAGCCCAGCATCAGCACCAGGCTGAGGAGGAGGTGGCAGCCCTGGGTCTCCTCCGCCATCCCCGGTGCCACATCCCTGCCCGCTCTCTGATGCTCTGGGGCCGACAGCAGAGGCTGTTACCCTGCTGGTGTCGAGCGTGCCTCATCACAATGGCAGGAATGGGGGATGAAATGGAACGGTGACAAAAAAGTGCCCCACGTGCACCGCCGCACCTGCGCAGTTGTCTCCCGCGAATACTTGTCTTACCCTGTGTTGCCTGGGCAACAAAACAACGTGGCTTTGTGCGGCCGGGAGGGCTGTGTGGGGCGAAGCCATGCGGGAAGGAGGGCGGAGCCTGGCAGGGCGCCGGAGCAGCGCACCTGGAAGCCAGTCTCTGCCATTGCTGCCGTGCGGGGTTGCAGCAGCGTCGCCTCAGCCTACTCTGTTTAGGTGGGGGAGGGGGCGGCAGGCCAGCAGCCTCGGGGTGCC